GTACGCATAACATTGAACAGAAAGGAAAAAGATACAACAGTTGTGATTGTCATCGTAGCTGTTCTCTTCGAAAAAAAAATAAAAAAATAAAAACAGCAAAAAAACATTTATGGTTTTTATCTGTTCCCTCACTTTTTTCCCAGAACCAAAAAATAAAAATCTGATTAAATTTTAAAATTACGCAAAGATTCAAAAGTATTTCGGGCCCAAAAATATTTTTCTTTCACTTGCTTGTTCTGTTGTCTTCATTACTGCGGTTGCCACCGCTGCCACTGCTGCTGCTACCGTTGTTTTCGTTGTTACTAATGGTAGTACTGATGCTGTGATGCTGTCACAAAATTTGATTCATTATCAACAGAAAAGGAAAAAGTTGTCTGAAACTCTTATTTATTAATTTTTTTCTACGTTTTCCCTCCTATTAATATGATAGTCTCTAAGAAACGAAAAAAAAAAAAAAAACAGCTGAAAAAACTTGAAAACGCCACGAAGAATAGAGATAATATTGGCTTTTTGCTAAGGCTGACCCAAAAATGGAAGCCTAATGTTAACAAGCAAAAGATACATACATTTACACATATATTTTTTGACGAAAACGAATTTATTGTTTCATACAAGCGAAAATTAAAAAACAATAACCTTTTCGCTGTTGTTTATTCATCTATAGCTGGAATGAGAAAGCGGAGCACAAGATGTCAGCTCTGATCTTTCAACTGGTATCGTCAACCTTACGAAGTACGTAACAAAAAATAATGAGTTTTAATGTTTGTAATAATTTACTTCCAGTGGTAGTTAGTAAAGTCGGTAAAAAAAAAAAAAGGCGTCTTACCACTGGCACGAAGGGTATTGTAAAAATATTACAAAAAACAGGGATAGAGAGATGGAGGGCACATATATGGAAATGCGAAATCGAAACACGATTGTTATTGACCTAGCGCCTGACTCCAATAACTCTTGACTAACAACACATTCAAGCACCTAAACATCTTTTTCAGCTCAGTGCCGGTTTTTTTCTAGTTAATCCTGTACGGTCGGTAATTTGTAAACAAGTTTTTTTTTTTAAAAAAGGGGCAGAATGAAGGGACAGAGCAGAGTACGATAGAGTTTGGTTAACCCCTTAATTCTGTTACTGCCATGTTCGATTGGTGATACTAATTACTTGTACTATTAGAGTTGTCCTGTCCTCCAACTATTCGTAGAACTTTAAATTGAGCTAGTCGTTTATAGGACTTTATGTTACTGCGGGAAAGAACAGTACAAATTTCTAGCGATTATTCTAATATAAAATGAACGCACAAAAATACAAACAAAAACACATTAAAAAAAATCTTTTTTTTGATTTTTCTGTTTGATCAACTGTTTTGCTGGCATAACTTTTTTTTTGAGGAAAAAATAAAAAAAGGTTTTTTGTTACATAAGCGAAATAGAGCATCGTTCCTATCAGTAAACCGTTGAAAAGATTTTCTTGTACCTGCAGTCATTGTCTGCATTTCAACTCTCTCAGATATTGAATCATAGTCTCTCAAAAACAGAGATAATTTTTAGAAAGGCTTCGAGAAAAGAAACTGTGCAGCAACTTTTTCTCAAATCTTGTAGATTAAACATATATAAATCTATTTTAGCTCGAGAAATTATTCGAGAATAAGACAAAAAAATAGAAGTTTTAGTCGAATTATATTGCCGTTCCCATCTTTAATAATTTCCAGTTAAAATGCTGTTGTCTTCATTGCTAAGATGAACGATGAAAGCAGAATTTGGTTGTTTCAACTTTAAACGAACACTTAAAAATTAAATTATCCGACTGTGTTGATGACATCAGCTGACAGCCTTGTAACATCTAACAGTTTAACAAACATTTAAAAAAAACTGAAAGAAGGTAGCCAGTCGTCCACTTTTTTTAAAGAAAGTACTCTTAATTATTTTGAGCTCTGCCAAGTATATGTTGTCTTTACTTTCTTCCTTCTAGTAAGATTGGTCGTTTCTTTTTTCCTGCTGTTTGCTCGAAATTTAAAATTTTCTAGACGGTTTTTTTGAAACGAAATAGGCCTTTCACAAAGTTCAAAAATTTTTAGTCACTCAGAAGGTCAAACTCATTCTTTGATCTATAATTTTCAATTTTCTATAGCATAGTTGTTCGCCTTCTAATTTTTTCCTTTTGTAATAACAAAAAGCGATTAGTATCACTATAAAGTTTGGTTTCTACATCCTTTTACTAGTACCATTTATAGACTTTCTTGACTTCAAAATTCTTATTAGCAGTATTTTTTTAGAGGAAAAATAAGGCAGATTTTTTCGGCACTATTGTTTTTATAAACAATAAAGCAAGGTTTTTCAACGCAGTAAAAAATTAATTCTACTTATAATAAGATTGCGACTGATGACAGAATTTTTAGAAAGTGCTTTTCAGATTCTATATCGAGAGCAGATTACGCAAAGATGTGGTTCCCTGGAACAGACAGTGATGAGTATCTTAGGTCAATAATTAAAATGAGTACATAAGTGACCTTACAGCAATTAAACAAAATAATAAGCGCTCTAAAATAAAAACATTTAATTTACAATAAGCGATAGAATAAGGAGAAATTGAAAACTTAGAAGTCACAAAACTAATAAGTGCATGAGAGAAGAAACGAATTAAAATGACAAACTGCACCATGTAAACAGGAAAAAAGTTATCCCTCTTTAATAATTACACTAATTTCCGTACGGTAACAAAAAGCAATGTAAATTGCAGGCAAAAAGTGATCATGCATCACTTCAGCAAGTTAAATGAGACGCTTTTGAGTTAAAAGCATCAGACAAAGAAATCCGTTTTTCAAGCTTATTATGATAATCATAGCCGAAAATTAGTGCTCTAATTTGAAAAATATGAACGACAAACTAAAAGACAGCGAATAAAGTTAGTTAGCTAGTGAAAGATACATTTTCTTATTGCTGGTGCCAGTCCACATGTTTCTAATAGACAGAATACTTGCGCTGTAAAATCTTGCCA